ATCAGGTACGATACGAGTCCAGCAGCGTCAGCCGGTGAAGTAGGCTATTGTTGGTTTAAACTATAGTCTTTCAAATGTTCTTTATTTTACTTTTCGTACAAGATTGTTTTCCTCTCCTTTAAAAATGTTTTTCTAAAAATAAAACTCAACATAAATGTTTTAAGATTAGATTTGCGGGGCAAACAGTTTAATTTTCACCATATGTTGCCGCAGCAGTTTGTAAATTAAAAAAAAAAAAAATCTTTCCACTAAAACCACCACCAAAAAAAAAAAAAAAAAAAAAATCTAATATAAAAATGTATTCTTCCCAAAGCGTCTCCCTCCTGTGGGCTATTTTACAGCTCCCAAATAAATCTTTAAGGTTGCAAAGAAGGGGAAAAAACAAAAATACCCTGATGACGGAAAAGCAAATCCTGCCATGATAATGTCCTTTATTAATATTATAGATGTGTAGTGTGCTGGATGGATCAATCATATCCATTCACAATCAGGATTAAGAGAGCCTATTTTAATGAAAATCTATTAGTCTCTCGCTTGAGACACGGATGCTGCTTAAATCAATAAACAGCATAAAAGAGAATACGACGCAGGTTTCTAAATTAAAAAAAAATCCCATCTATGAAATGTGTTAAGACGTCTGTAAAATCCTGAAACCCTCGATCGATACTTATAAATATTTAATTTTTTTTTAACACAAATTGAAAACCATTAACACTGCATCCATTCTTATTATTAAAACAAATTGTCCTTGGAATTATGTGCTGTGGAAATGGAGCCAGATTGAAAGGGCATCCTCTGAAATATGTTTACTCGCTTTCATGTAAACCAATAAAGATCTGCAGGAGTCTGTAGCGTGAGCAGAAAGGTTTGATGTACAATGTCCATGATTACAGTCCCTGAATTAATCACGAGAGAGAGAGGGAAGGAGGGAGCGAGATGGAGAGAGAGAGGACTCAGTTATGTACTCAACAAAATCTTGCTCTTCGGGTCAGCGCTTATTAAAACGTGGATTAAACCGATGATTTTTCTGTTTGCTTATTTGCCCCATTTCGACCAAAATAAGCTGAAGGGGGGAGGGTGGAAGGAAATCAGTTTCGCCCTACGTCATACCATAAGTAAATGTACAAACGTAAATTCCTCCTATAAATATGAAATTCAATACGTTGCCTCGGAAATGCTTAAAGCTAATGCAACGTTTAAACTCATTCATGATTATTCCTCTCGTTTAACTCGGAGAAAAACCACACTGGTCAAGAGCCTCCTTTGAAAGAGGAATTAAAAACGAACACATGGATTGATACCACGCTAAATAAACGCTCCTCTGCAGCCCAAGGTCCGCACTATCCGCTGCCAGGCTGCCCTGCTCGCAGATGCCCCCTCTGGCTTTGGGGAGGGGGCAGCCAGGGGGCGGGCTCGGGTCCGTGGGGAGGAATCAGCCCCGATGGGGCGGCGGTGGGGAAAGGAAGAGGGGTGGAATAAACGGGCCACCCCTTTTGTCCACTTAGGACCCCCAGACTGGCAGAGGGCTCCTGTCTGTTGCCTCAGGGCAGTAGAGGGGGAAGAGGAGGAGGATTTTGGGGGCATGGTGCCCTCAGGTGAGCCGGCAGGCCGGGCAGTCGGGACAGCCCTCAATGTGCCGCTGACGGCCCGTCCTGCAAGGGGGGATCGGGGAGAGCGGGGTGGCTTGTGGCACCGCAAAGGGGTACCCAGGGTGCCGCGGTGAGCCGGGGGCAGAGGGAAGTTCTGAGGAGCGCTGGTGACTTTTTAGGTTTGCGACAGGGTCCCAGGAGTTCCTCTCCTGCAAGGGAATGGTGTTTGGGCGGCAGTTCCTTCTCTCTCTCTCTTTCTCTCTCTCCCTTTCTCTACCCCTCCCTGCATCCCTCCTCCCCAGCCCATTTATCAGGAGCAGCAATAAAGGTAATTCCTCTCTGAACCCGCCGTCAAAGTTTGTAGTGGGGACACAATTGCCCCCAGTTTTGTTCCCACCTGCACCACCTTGCCCTAGGTCCCCGCAAAGCCGCGGGCTGCGCAAAGAGGGGGGGCCCGGGGGCGCTCCCCGCCTCCCGTCGCTCGCTGCCGCTGGGACGGGACGGGACGGGCCCGGCGTCCCTCGCAGAGCTCCGCGCTGCTCAGCGGGGCCCGGCGCGCCCTCGGGGATGCCCGCGCTTCTGCGCCCTCCGCCGCCTGCCCCCGCCAGGGTCCGCGGGGCGGGGTGGAGGCCGGATCCCAGGGAGAGTTGAGCTTTGCACTGGTCCTTTTTTGTTTGTTTGTTTGTTTTTATTATTTTCCCGGTTTTCTCCTTTTCCCTTTCCGGTGCTTTGTTTCGCTTTTCTCTTTCGGAGCGAGTCTGAGGCAAGTTCCCCCCGGCTGCAAGGCTCCCCCCGGGCCTCCCTGCTGCCGTCGAAGGTCCCCGGTGGCGGTGGCCCGCGGGCTGCCGCGCCACTTGCGCGCCCGGCGGCTGCCCCGCGCCGAACTGTGCCCCGCGCGTCGCGGGAAGCGCGGCGAACCAACCTTCCCACCAGGCGCTGCTGGGAAGCAGGGAGGGAGGAATGTGGAACGGGCAAGAGAGCTTTTTTCCCTCCTCTGTCTGAGGAGGCTTGGATTTGCCCCTGTCCTCGGGGGCAGGAGCCCGGCAGTGGCAGGAGGCGCCCGGGGGGCTCCGGGAGGAGCGTGGCGGGGGCTGCAGGCGTGGGGCTGGGCGCAGGGGGGAGCTGCGGGGAGGAGAGTGGGACGGGGGCGAGCGGGAGGAAAGAGGGGATCCGGCGGACTTGGTGCAAACTCCGGCAGCTCGGGGAAGCCGACGCGCACCGTGCCTCTCCGGCGCTGGGGACGCGGAGTCAGTAAATATTTATCCTTGATTGCTGCTTGCTGCGAGGGAGGCAGAGGGAGACTGGGCACGGTGGGGATCGGTGCCGTTCGAGCCGAGGGATGGGGAAAGTTTCCGCGGCGGGGGGCCAGCCCCGGTACGGAGCCTCTCCCACGGGGAGTGGGTGCCGGTGGCCCCGCGTGTCCGTGACACCCTCGCACCACGCACCACCCTGCACAACAATCCTCTGCGAGCCCTTACACGCGCAGACTGCTTGAGAGAGGCACAAGCAGCGTGTCGTGCCGGGATCTTTCCTCAGCCATACGTTACTTCCCCGTCTATCGTTTGCCTTTATTATTTATGTGGTGCCGTGTGATATACATTAGAGCCTCGGATTTGATTGGCGTTTGCGATGACAAGACCTGTTTGTTAAGTTGTAAGGCTTCCTCCGCTCCCTCACTTGTTAAACGAACTCTGGAGGAAGGATGCCACCGAGATACGACAATATAATAAATGTCAGGGATATCCGCAGTGCCGAGATCAAATGATCAATCCTTGTCCGCTAGATAATCATTTTAAATTCGCACAGGGGGAGATTGATTTTTTTAAGCCCTTTATTAATTGCTTCCTCGATTATTATTTTTCCCCCTCCTCCTGTGGAAGTGTTAACTCTGATGCTGGGGGCACCTTTGGATTAATTAAACGTATTTTTAGTGTTTTAATGTTCTGCTAATTTTCAGAACAGTCCCACACTCCCCCGGAAAAGAAACAATGGCCCCTTGCTCCAACAGGGAGCTTGCTTTGGTTGCGATTCAGAGCAGAGGGTGGCGTGATGATGAGCTCTGATTATCTCAAACTCGAGGCGGGGGAACGAGAAGGACGTAAAAAGCCAAACGACCAGAAGACAAAATTCCTCCAAATACCAAATAACCCTTCGCGTTAAAGCCCGAGGAGAAGAGGCAGAAATAAATAGCTGGGAAGTCGGCTCCGCATGGGGATCAAACGGTGCGGAGAGGCGCTGGAAATGCCGGCGCTGTTATCTGGAGACGAATTTCAGGCAGCTATTCAAGCGCACAGAATAATAACTATTCCAGGAGAACAACAAAAATAACTGCAGCCTACCAAGATCAAGGTGGGGAAATTATTGCTAGTTCTATGTTAAATCCAGCAGGATTAAAAAAAAAAAAAAAAAAAAAAAAAAAAAAAAAAAAAAAAAAAAGGTTTAGTGCTCTATTTGTCGTGTACACACTCCCGTGTTAACAAATAATCCCTCTGCTGCATGCAGCAGGATATCTCGATATCCAGAGAAACATTTTAGATTTTCATTCCCCCCTACAGTACCTTCAAACAACATAATAAGAATAAACAAGGAGACAGATCCTGCAATGTTCACATACATCTGGAGAGACTCCCGACCTATGGATACCCCACAGCCAAACAACCCACTCCAAATCCTCCGAACACACCGACACGGACCTCCGAGGCACCTCGCAACTTGTTTAGCTGCAGCACACGTCCCCCTCCGTGCACCCACCCACCCACCGCCAGCCAGAACAGGCAACACTTTTAAAACAGCATTTTTGTTTCGCCGATTATTTTGACCGTTTAATTAAGACAAATTAGCTAAATAGCAAATCAGGTAGAATTTCCAATGATTACAAAAAATGCACATCTCCGGCTTTTTATTCATTACCTTTTTTATTGAACACTCATTTTCCTTTCCTCTTGACAGCGATACATTTAATTGCAGGAGCTCTGTTATTTGGTTAGCTGTGGGTCCGTTTTTATTCACAGTGTTGCCACGCACAGGATGTCCTTAAAATCAATTAAGTCTTCCTCGACTCTCATTTCTGCAACCCATTTACAGAATGTAGATACCTATTTTCATGTTTTCCTCTTCCCCCCTCCCTCCCTTTTATTCCTCTCTCTCTCTCTCCCTCCCCCTCTCTCTCTCTCTCTCTCCCTCTCCCCCCCTCTTTTTCGCTGTTGCCTCTTTGCCTCCCTAAATCAAGGTGCAAAGATGCCAAAGAGTGATGAAATGAAAAGAAAGCCAATTGCTGGACTGAGGTGGGGGAGATAGCTGCTCGGAGTCCGCCTGCGACTATGGAGCAGTCAGTAATTGCTGGAGACAGGGAGAGCTGGGGGTTGGGCTGAGGTAGCCATGTATAAATAGTGTGATCTCAAATTGAAAGGCATAAATAACAGCAGGAGTGATCTAACCCTATACAGCCCATCTTCTACGTGCAAAAACAGCGTGCGGAGGACGGCCACATCTCCGATTGAAAACAAGTGGATCTCTGTGGATAAGATCACCGGGCAGCCATGGAAGAACTTACGGCTTTTGTATCCAAATCTTTTGACCAGAAAAGCAAAGAGAGCAGCAGCGGCAGTGGCAGCGGCAACAAGAAGGAGACGATCACGTACAGGGAAGTTTTGGAGAGTGGGTTGGCTCGCTCTAGGGAGCTTGGAAACTCTGATTCTAACCTGCAGGACATGACCGAGAGCAGCAACCATTGCCCGGTGCATCTTTTCAAAGACCACGTAGAGAGCGACAAGGACAAACTGAAGGAGTTCAACACGGGCAGGACAGCGGAAGGTAAGAGCAGGGCTGGAAGCCCTCCGCCCCGCGCTCCTCGCCGGCAGCCCCGGTCCCCTCCCCGGCCGCCCCTGGCTCTCCGCAGCGGGGGCGACTTGGTCACCGCGGCCCCGGTTCCGGGCCCCGGCGGGGCGAGCGGGATCGCCTCCCGCATCCTGCCTCCCTCCTGCGGCCACCTCCCTCCCGCGGCGGCGGGAACACAGGCTTAGGAACACGTACTCCTGCATGCATAACGTGAGCGTAGCCGCGAAAAACAAGTCACAACTTCGGTCCTGCCCCCCCGCCAGCCCCCGTTCACATCCGAAATCGATCCGGTGCGTTAGGCGTTCTCTCGCCTGGGGAAAGGGGGCAGCGCAGCACGTCAGACGTTTTTGTCTCTATCTGTGTATTTTTGTACGAGGAAACCTTGTCCGGGGAGTTTTAATGCCCTAGGAGACCTGTTCTTCCTGCTTCCGGGCCGTCAGGATGCTGCTGCCTGTTCTGGGAGAAAGCGGGAGGGGAGAGGGCTCTCTCTGGACATTTTGTCTTGGGTCGGTCAGCCTGTCCTACTCGGAGGCTCCGACCGGCGGGCACGAGAAGCAGGAGAGGAGCCTGGCTGTGGGGCAGCCGCCCGGAGCCGGTGAGACAGAACCTCGCTGCGGCCAGAGGCACCGGCCCACCCAGGGCCGACTGGTCCCTCGGTCCCCTGCCAGTCCTCTCACCTGGGCCAGGGCAGCACGGCACCCCGCCGACCGAGGGGAAAACGCCATCCCTTCTCTAAGCAACAGCAACAGCAACGACAATTAAAAAATATATATTTTTTAAACCGACACAACTACAAATCTCGCACAGGCTCACAGGGGAAGGAGAGAATTAAAAGGACGGAGGGATTAGAAAGTTGAGAAAGTGTCTCTAGGCAAGTTAGACAGGTGGACCTGCCTGGGGAGCTACTGGTTAGCTTGGGGTAATAAAAACCGGTTAATAGGTTGGGGAACAACAACCAGCCTTTCAGCTGTTTCCTACTGTTTGATCTTGTTTAATATAACACCGGGAGATTTAATTTACAGCCCAAATTCTTATTTAATATCCTTCTTGTTTCTACCTGTTCCCCAAACAGAAGAACGGGGTATAATCCTGTATTCGTGCACCCATATTTCTGCACAAGCCAGTACCACTCAATTCTGCTTATTTTCCTTCTCTGGTCGAGAGATTGAAAAACGAGAAGATTCAGTTTAAGGGAATCATTCGATACAGAGAGAGATGATTTTCTTTTAAAAAAATGAAAGCAGGGCTTGCTTCAGGAATTATAAATAGAATGAGAAAGATCGAAAAAACCCCCTCTACTACTCTCCATTTTTCCCCGTGAATCGAAATTCTGGCTTGTATGTTTAGCTAATCTAATCTACGGAGAGGGGCTGGGGGTGGGGATGGAAGGGAGGAGTTGGAAAGAGCTGAGATGCTTGTGACAGTTTAAATTCATGCCAGGTTTCAGTCTAATTTCAACTGATTCCGGCGTGTGATTTCAGTCCCACCGATATGCTAGTTAATATTTTATACCTATCACGGACATGCTGTAGCCTCGGAAAAGAGACAGCTTTTGAACGCGCCTGATTTTCCCTAGGCATTTGCTGGGTTAGCACCCTCGTCTTTTCATAGGGATTCCCTTTACAGGAGAAATGAGAACAAAACGCCAGTAAAACCAAACAGCGAATTTTCCCATCCGGAGGCCAGACCCTTCCCAAAGTTTTATGCAGCTAGTATCAGCCCCGAAGCACGGGGGAACGATCACGGCCAGGGCCAGTTTTCATTTTGGAAGTGAAAACGAATGCTTCGGCTTGGGTCCGGCCTGACTTAAGCCCAGATGCAGTTCAGGACGCTTTATTACGTTTAATTAACTTACGATTTGCAATTTATAATTTGCATTTTGAGATGCTCCTAAGTATATGGGTTAATATATGTTCATGAGCACATTTCTCTGTGTGTGTATACGTACGTATATATGTATATAATACCTGTGTACTTGGTGAGGAAAAAGGGAATTCGGGATCATCCGCAGATGCGACTACCCCCAAATCCACACCACCCAGAAGGTGAGGCACGACAAAGGAGGCAGTCAGGGCAGGCTCGTCCCGGGATTCCGCTGGTGCCCGCGCTGGATGCGCACCCGGCGGGGCGCCCCAGGCAGGCAGGGGATCCCGGGGAACCGGTTCAGCCTAAAGTGGTGTCCCTCGCTCCAGAACCTCTTCCTCTTTTCGTTAGCTGGATTTGAAAGAAGGACAGTGCCTTAGGCCTCCCGACATTAAGGAAAAGGGGAGAAAATTATAATATTAAAAACGTAGGAAATAATATGCCAAAGCAAAAGAAGTCTCCCTACCCAAGACAGGAAAGGAGAACTGTTTTACCGCTGCCCCCACAGCCTCCCCTCTGCCCAGGACAAGCATTCTCAGCGGCTGCCTCTGATCGCAAGCTCTCCACGAGCCCTGTTGGAGTCCCTGAAGGTTGGGAGGGTTCCTGCTGTTTCGGAGGGGCTGGGAGTGACCCATGGCCCTGGAGCCCGCCGTGCCGCACAGGGCTGCGCGGGACCGCCTGCCCCGGGGTTTCGACCCGCTGGCAGGTATTTTGGGGGAAAGAGGGGTGTTAAGGAGAAGAGAGACAGGCGGTCTCTGTCTCATGCCCAGGGAAAGTTTCTTTTACGAGACAAACCGTGGCTTCACCATGACAGCGATAGGCAGCTTCTTGCATAATCCTTTTTGGGAGAAAACGTCGCCGGAGAAACCCCCTTCCCCCACCTCTTCCCACTGCCTGGAGGTATCGGGGGGCCGGCGGTTTTCCTACCACCCCCTTCCCCGAACTGCCCGTACCAGCGGCACGGCTTCCTCATAACCCTGGAAAGAAAATAAAATTATATGTATCTGTATAGTTTTTCTGACAGGGCATCAGACAGGCAAGGCAGCGAGGCTCTCTCCCTCCCTCCGGCCCTCGGGCCAGCTGCCCCCGGCCCGGCTGTAGCGGAGCTCAGCCCCTCTCGCTCCTCCGGGGTCTGCCCAGGGACCTTGCCCCCCCCACCCCCACCAGCTGTACCCCAAGTTGTGCTGAGTTTGGGGGCGAAGAGGGGAGGAGGGAGACCCCTGTGTGAGAGAATTTCGAAGAGGTGCGAGGGGAGGCTCAGCATCGTTTTTTTCTTCCTCCTCCCGGCAGGGATCTACGAATGCAAAGAGAAGAGGGAAGATGTGAAGTCAGAAGATGAAGACGGACAGACCAAGCTTAAACAAAGGAGAAGCAGAACCAATTTCACACTAGAGCAGCTGAACGAGCTGGAAAGACTTTTTGATGAGACTCACTATCCGGATGCCTTCATGAGGGAGGAACTAAGCCAGAGGCTGGGACTATCTGAAGCTAGGGTTCAGGTAAGAGAAAGGCTCTGTTCCTGGAAACGTGCTCACCTCCTTTCCTAACTGCCAGCGGATCCTAGCACAGTGCCCCGTTTCATGCAGAACGGGGAGGTGAAGAAGGCAGAGGTGACACGTGTGATGGGAAAGCTGTTTGCAAGTCTGCTGTACCTGTCCTGCCAAACAGTTATTCTGCTCTGGGAATATTCTGCCCGTGTCTAGCGTTTCCTAGGAAGGCGGTTTAAACTTTTTGGGGGTTTTTTTTGGTATGTGTGTGGGGTAGGGTGGTTGGTTGGTGATAGTGTTGACAGGTCTCTAATAACTGAACAACTGCTTGCTTTTTTTTTTTTTTTATTTCTTCCC